GTTTTGAGCTTTGGGAAATTAGGACATTCAAAAGCAGTTGTGTGTATGGGGGGGATATAGAAAGTTACAATATGCCTAGGAAAGGTACACACTTAGAAACATCCTGAGAAGACTTTAGGCTTCCACCTACAGCTGATCCCCTAGCTCACAGCAAGCCTCCTTAAGTGGGAAAAGAATGCCCCAGCACAGAGCCAATCTGAAAAGATGGGGAGAGGTGGGTTGCGTTCTCTCTCTCTGTCTCTTTCTCTCTCTCCCCCCCACTCCCTCTCTCTCTCCCTCCCTCCCTCATTCCCTCCCTCTCTTTCTCCCTCCCTCCCTCCCTCCTTCCCTCCTTCTCTCCCTCCTTCCCTCCCTCTCTCTCTGCCTCCCCACACCACCCCCAGCTTTGTGGGGGAGTAGAGGGTATTTGTTTTCAGCTCCTGGAATTCAAGGAAATCTCTGTCAAATGGTAGCTGAACATGAGCTAATAGAATGAACACCTCAATAATTACACATGATATGGAATAGTCTTTGCGAAAATAGTTTGGAAAAGTCTTAAAACAAAATGACTGCTACAACCTTCAACAGTAAAACAAGACAGCAAATCCTAGGAACAAAGGAGTTAAAGATTTCCAGAGTTACCACATTATGATAAAAGTGAAATGTTCAATTTTCAACAACAAAATAAACAAGGAATACAAGGAAACAAAAAAAAATCCTCCCTCAAATGAACAGGATAAGTTGACAGAAACTATCCTTGAGAAACCACAGACATCAGACTTACTGGGGAAAGACTTTAAAATGATTGTTTTAAATACACTCAAAGAGCCAAGAGAAAAACATGGACAAAGTACTAAAGAAAATCAAGAGCCGGGCGCGGTGGCTCACGCCTGTAATCCCAGCACTTTGGGAGGCCAAGGCAGGCGGATCACGAGGTAAACATGTCGAGACCATCCTGGCCAACGTGGTGAAACCCCATCTCTACTAAAAAATACAGAAATTAGCTGGGTGTGGTGGCACACACCTGTAGTGCCAGCTACTCAGGAGGATGAGGCAAGAGAATTGCTTGAACCCGTGAGGTGGAGGTTGCAGTGAGCCAAGATCGTGCCACTGCACTCCAGCCTGGCGCCTGGTGACACACCAAGACTCTGTCTCAGAAAAAAAAAAAAAAAAAAAGAAAATCAAGAAAACACATTATAAAAAGGAACCAAAAAGAAATTCTGGACCTAAAAAGTATAATAACTGAAATTAAAAAAATTATTAAAGGTGTCCAAGAGCAGAATTGAGCAGGTAGAAAAAAGAATAGGTGAACTTTAAGAAAGGACAATTCAAATGATCAAGTCTAAGGAGCAGAAAGAAAAAAGAATGAGCAATTATCATATGATCCAACAGCTCTATTTCTGGGTATATACTTAAAATAATTGAAATGGACTCATACTCGTATGCCCATGTTCACAGCAGAATTATTCATAACAGTCAAAAGGTAGAAACAACCCCAATGTCGGTCAACAGATGAATGGATAAAGTTTGGTATATATACACAATGGAACATTATTCAGTCGTGAAAAGAAATTCTGACACATGCTGCAACATAATGAACCTTGAAAATATTATACTATGGGAAATAAGCCAGACAAAAAACGACAAGTATTGTTTAATTCCACTTATGTCAGGTATTGGGAATAGACAAATTTACAAACACAGAAAGTTGAATAGAGGTTATCAGGGCTGGTGGGGAGGGGAATGGAGATATTGTTTAATAGGTAGAGGGTTTTTTGAGATGATCAAAAAGTTCTGAAAATGGGTAATGTTTCTGATTAACATTATGAATGTACTTCATGCAGATAAACTGTACACTTAAAAATGGTTAAAATGGTAAATTTTGTTATATACATTTCACCAGAATAAAACAAAGTACTAAAGGGAAAAAGAAAAAAAGACGTATGAGAGAAAAGCACCCAAATACTCACCAGTTCTAGCTGCTCACCAGCAGATGCAGCTTTCCCGGTATCTGCATTGTCATAAGAAAACAGTCTTCTGGCAGTTTCGCCCACCCCAGAATCTTCACCTGTTGTAATGCAAGAATTCTGTATGTTTCCCTAAAATAAAATGTGCCCATTATGCAATTGAATTCAATTTTTAATAAACATGCATACTTTACAAATAGAATACCGATTCTCATCTTTGATGAAAAAGAAAGCATATGCTTCTACACTACAAGAATCATTTTACATTTTCAGGCTATTAGGGTCATATTCTACAAGTGTTGCAAAGTCAAATTCCTTCTGGTACAGGCAGTAATCTAAATATGAGCAAAGAGGGCTAGATTTCAGTGCATTCAACAAATGGAATTATCCTTTACTCCTCTGAAGACGTACTCTCGAAGCACACACCGCTCTCTTACTTTGTCTTTCCTTTTCCACATTTCACACAGGCATGGCTACTAATAATTTTTGTCACAATGCTGCCTTCTATGCTCCCTACCCTGTTTTATGTATGTCACATATATTAACTAATATAATCATTACAACAATTCTGTGAGATAGATAGGTTACATTGTTGCCTCTATTTTATACAGGAGGACACTAAGTCACAGAGGTAGCAAGTGGGTCACAGAGGTAGCAAGTGGCTAGTAAGTGGCAGCACTAGGATCTGAAACCTGTCAGTCTGGATCCAAATATTTATGTGGTCTCTGTTCCTGGTTCCAGGCACAGAACTCCTAAAACCCTGAAATTTCCCGAGTGACATGTGTGATAGTGTGATAGGAGCACCTTTCATTAAAATATTTGGTCTTAGTCCTTGGTTCCTGACACAAGCGTCTTCTAAGACCTTTATGATCTCCACAGTGATAAAAGTATCTTTTTGTATGTTAAGATGACTTGTGGCTGGAGTCCATAATTAGAAGACTAGAACTTACAGCCCCACTCCCCCACCTCAAGGGAGGAAAGGACTGGATATTGACTTAATCATCAACGGCCAATGATTTAACCAATCATGCCTATGTAATAAAATCTCCATAAAAATCCTATATGATGAGGTTGAAAGAATTTCTGGGTTGGCAAACGCATCCACATGCCAAGAGGGTGGTGCACCCAAACTCCACAGACAGGAGCTCCTCTACTTGGGGCCATCCTGGACCTTGTCCTGTGCACCTCTTCAATTGGCTGTTCATTTATATCCACCCTCTCAGCACTGAATGTAGTAAGCAGCCCAAAGATCTTGGGGGTTTTATATGTACAAGAAGGAGAATACTTATATTAATTTAATTCAACAAATAATTATTGAACACTTGCTAAGGGCCAAAGGATATGGTAGTAGGCACAAGAGAGGACAGGTCCCCAAACACCGAACTATACTACAGTGTCATATAAAGGATATAATACAAGTAAAGTGTTTCCCTGAATTTTGTGAGCCATTATAGCAAATTATCAAACATTAGGAAGGGGTTGTAGGAACCCCCAATTTACAGCCAAGTCAGACAGAATTGTGGATAACCAAGAGACCTATTATTTGCAATTGGTATCTAAAGTAGCAGGTAGTCACGTGGGACAGAGCCCTTACCCTGTCGGTCTGATACTCACTGTGCAGTGACTGTCAGAATTGAATTGAATCACTGGACACCCATTTGGTATCCACAGAGAAAGGGAGAATGGCCAGGTACAGGAGAAAACAATCCTAAACATTTGGTGTCAGAAGTGTTATGAGAAAAAATGAATAGTTTTTTTTCCTTTAATATCCTATATCATTATGACCTTCTGCCTTTCCAGAAAAATATTTATCTTCAATAAAAAGAAACAGTGCATGTGCGGTGATAGAGTTGACACGCAGCCTGCATGCCAGGGTTTCAAAAAGGAAGAAGAGTAAGCACTGTGACAAACCACAGAAATGTGTGCCACCCAAAGGAAGCAGCCAGTACTCAATTTCAGTCAATTACTGCCATGTGGGATTGAACATTCAGATGACCAGATATCTGGTTCTTCACATGAAACATTATTAAATACTGGCTCAAAATTTATCAAACAAAGCAAACGCGTCTGAGTTGCATGTGGTGTACCATTGAATGTCACCCTCTCGACATTCAACGCAGCAAGCAGCCCAAAGTTCTGGGGAATTTATGTGTACAAAAAGGATTAAAATACCTATATTAATTTAATTCAACAAATAATTATTGAACACTTGCTAAGGGCCAAAGGACATGGTAGTAGTCACAGAGAGGACAGGTCCCCTAACACTGAACTATACTGCAGTGTCATATCATGCTTGACTATGGTAAACTACATTCATCTAAAGTAGTATTCTGAGGTTCTATTTCATATTATTCTGGAAGTTCAGTTTAGTGCAAATATTTGTGTAACACCTATGGTGTTCAGACATTGTGCTAAGAGACTGGGGTCAAAAATGAGCATGATCGATCTTAGCTCCAAGGAGTTTACAGTCTAATAAGGGAGACACCTAGGCAGGTAACTTCAATTTAATAATGTCAGTCCCAGGCCAAAGGTGTGCACAGGGGCCTCTGCCAAAACAGAGGGATACTAAGGGCACCCAGAAATCCAAGAAAGGTTTTCTGGAAAAAAGCTGACACTGGTGTGATATCTTAAAGGATGAGTAAGGGTAAGCTAGATGGAAATGGCATTCTAAGGAGAGAGAACTTCATGATAAATGCCATAGAGGTATGGAATACATGGTGCCTGCACGGGGGTCTCAGACAATTCAACATTATTGGAGGTCAAAATATAAGGTGATAAATGTCAGAAGATGAAGCTAAAGAATCAAGTAAGGGACCTGAGAGCACACCATGCCATGAAATGAGTTTGCACTTGATTCTCTAGGTAGAGCCAAATCCCCTAAGATATGATTGCATTTAAAGTTGTTTTTGAGATCAATGAAGGAGGGTGGTACTAATTTTCTATGGAGAAATTGGAAGAAGGATGTAGGCCACAGATCATTTACTTATGATACAAAATGTTATCATCCTTTGGAAAGAAGTGCTAGTCTAATGGATATTTTGTTCTTTCACAGATAGCTTTAAAAAATTTGAATGCTATTTAACCAAAAGTTTTTAAAAAAAAATCTAAGTGTGTTAAATCCCTGAAGATCATTCAAAACCTTTGATCTCCTTTTCTGCTTTTTTTTTTTATTTTTCCTGAGATGAAGTCTCACTCTGTCACCAAGCTGGAGTGCAGTGGCGTGATCTCAGCTCACTGCAACCTCCGCCTCCTGGGTTCAAGCGATTCTCCTCCCTCAGCTACTGTTCCAAGTAGCTGGGACTACAGGTGTGTGCCACCACACCCAGTGAATTTTTGTATTTTTAATAGAGATGGGGTTTCACCATGTTGGCCATGATGTTCTCCATCTCTTGACCTAGTGATCCACCCGACTGGGCTTCCCAAAGTGCTGGAATTACAGGTGTCAGCCACTGTACCTAGTGTGATTTCTTAATTGGGGGTTGGGGGGCTGGGGTATGATATGAGAGGGAATGAGAACAAATATGAAAAGGCAGACCCACCCTTAAACTGGGTGGGCACAATCTAATCAGCTGCCAGCGAATGTAAAGCAGGCAGAAAATAGTGAAAAGGCTAGACTGGCCTAGCCCCCCAGCCTACATTTTCCTCCTGTGCTAGGTGGTGCTTCCTGTCCTCAAACACTGAACTCCGAGTTCTTCAGCTTTGGAACTCGGACTGGCTTCCTTTCTCATCAGCTTGTAGATGGCCTGTTGTGGGACCTTGTCATCGTGTGAGTTAACACTACTTAATAAACTCCCAGACACATATATATATATATACACACATATATATATATATATATATACACACACATATATATATACACACATATATATATATACACATATATATACACATATATATATATATACACATATATATATATACATATATATATATATATATCTCCTATTAGTTCTGTCCTTTGGGAGAACCCTGACTAATATACCACATAAATGTTTCAGTTATTTTTTTTTAAAGGCATTATGAAACACTGAATACCAATATTGAAATCAGCAAATTTCAATATAGCAAGGGAAGATTAAGCATCAACATTTTAATTGACTCATTACAAAAACCCCATCCTCCCTCAAAGAAGATATTTCTAAACACTTTTGTTCATGTTAAACACTTTTATCATGTTATAACTTCTGAAACAGCACTGTGCATGTATTGCCAAAATGTCTGGTTTTTCATTTGTCTTGTTTTTATTGAGGCAAGGTCTCACTCTGTTGCCTGGACTGGAGTGCCATGGTGTGATAAGGGCTCACTGTAGCCTTGACCTCCTGGGTTCCTCTGACCTCAGTCTCCCAAGTAGCTGGGAACACAGGTATGCAATAGCATGCTCAGCTAATTTTTTTTTTTTTTTTTTTTAAGAGATGGAGTCTCACTATGTTGCCTAGGCTGGTCTGGAACTCTTGGGCTCAAGTGATCCAGCAGCTCAAGTGATCATCCTTCCAAACTGCTGAAATTACATGTGTAAGACACTACATCTGGCCTTGAAATGTTTCAATTCACACAGGTAAAAAATGGGGGTATCAATTCAGTAATAACAAATAACAGAAGACCAACATTAAAATAGATATCAAGCTCATCTGGCATATCTGCAGGAATCATTTCAATATCTACATTATATTTAGCTCAGATGAATGTTTATAAAAACAATGAAAGCTCTCTAAAACCTTATCCTATGATTCTGCCTGTAGTTTTGTTCAGCACATTTTCACTGCTCGTGCTGTAAGGCATGTGTGCTCTTACCATCATTTCCTTCCCCTTCTGCATTACTCATTTATCTTGTCCTCTGATTCACTCAGCTGTCTAATTTCCTTTCTCACTTCACTTCCCCTTCTTCCAGTTCTTTGCCATTATATAAATACTGGAGACTATGAATAATTGAATCACTGCTTGCTAAGTGACTGCATATTTGGAAGAAAAGCAACTGAATATTTTCAAAATAAGTTACTTCTAAGTATTTTCTATATGGTGATATCTTCTTCAAATTGACATTAAAATAATAAGCAACTAAGGTGGAATTTTTACCACTAATAATTATATAAATCTTCAGGAAAAAGTTATACAGTGAGGAGAAAAGAACTGATCATACACTTAAATGCAATTGCAGAAAATTAAACTGAAATACTAATTAGCCCACTTCATTTATCAGAGTTCATATACTCCTATGCTTCTCAATAGCAAATCCTAACATATACAACTCTAGGATTGTAAACGAACTATCAATTCAGATAAATAATTTTAAAAACTTCAAAAACGAAAATTAGTGGATATCACAATAAACCATCAAGACTTTCATATGTTTTCTTAAAGGCTGATTTACTAATGATGACAAAGTCAAAACCACCAGAGTAAATTGCAAAGTGAAGCGGAATAGGCAAGTATGAAAACTTCCGCATGGAGAGTTAAATTTGTCTCAAAAAGCAGAACAAGCTGTGACTATAACTTACAGCAAAACAGTTAAAAAATGTTTAAGACAAAAGTACTCTGCTAAATCATAAGAAAATATTAAGTTGATGCACTATTTAAATGTCACCACAATCACCTTGTGTCACACAATTACAGAGAGAATCTGACCTAATGTTCTTCAAACTGTGGGCCAGACATTGGAATCACTTAGGCAACTTGATAAACGTTTAGATTCCTAGGAGCCAACCAGACCAAATGAATCAGACTCACAGGGGATGGAGTCCAGGAATTTGCACTGATAACTCCTGGTAAAGGCTAATCGTCTTAAACTACCAATAAAGAAATAAAGGACATATGGGATTAAGCTATGTAAAGCATTACTCGCTAAACACCAGTCTTCTTAGAGACAATGGAAAGACTAACATTTGATTCTTGGACCCTAAGGCTACATTTTGCTGCTAAGTAGACTTACCAGATTTCAGACCTCAAGGAAAATTTAGAGAAATCCAACAGAAATCTAAGCAAAGGTTCTGAACAGATTCTAGACTTAACAAAGTCCTTCTTGTATCACACACTTCCTGCTTTCAGACCAGCTCTTTCCATATGGAAAAGCAGAAATGATATGCTCAGAGAGGAAACTGTAGCAAATATCACTATATCGTTTCATCTGAGAAGTCACTCTACTACAGTGAAGTTTGATATTTGAGGTCTCAAAGAAATACCAACATAGTACTTTGGCCACACTTCAAGGAGAAAATCTAAGCAGTTAAGAAGGCAGGGAGAGAGGGCAGAATGGAATAGTCACACTAAAATAAAATTTATGATTTAAAATAACGCTCACAGACGCATCCAGAAGTGTTTGTTCCCTCATTGTCTCCTCTTGTCTTTGAGATTTCAGTTCTTGCTGGAGCCTTTCATTTTCAAGTACAATTACTTGGATTCTATTTTTCATTACAAAGAGTTCCTCCTATAATAAGCAAAACCAAATACATTAAGCATTATTTATTTATTTATTTATATTTTTTAACAGTAAAAAGAAGAGATTTATTAATTCTAACATAAATTCACACAAGAAGTTTTGAGTATATCTAGTGATGTATTCTAAACGTCTTTATTCAAAATAGAAAGTACACCTTAACATCAACATTTAACAGTAAATTCACATTGCAATTATAATACTGACTATAAGAATAAATATATCAGTTCTTGTGTTCATACATTTGCCAATGAAATACAAAGGACAGATTTCTAGTAAAACTATTAAATGAGAAAAGTTTATGTGCAAAGAAGACTAGTAGAAGTTGCTGGTCAAAACTACTTAAGCATTATTTAACAGTGTTTTCATCTGTTAATTATTAGAGGAACCAGCATGGTTTAAAGTCTGGAAGCCTTATGTTCTCCATTTCCAGAAATATAATTATATTTAGACAAACAAGACAATCTAAACACTAGCTAGATAACAAAGAGAAGGCTGGGGTATATAGCAATGCGCCTGCTGATGGCATCTCACAGAAGTGTGTCGTTTCTGACAATTTCCTTTTCTCCAAGGAATCGAGGCTCAAAGAAAAGCCTTAATTAAATTATCCAAGAGATTTTAAAGAATGGGGTAGACTGCTGAAAAACAAGGTAAGAGATATTATTGCCCATGATCAAATACCATTCATGTGTTAAAAACTGATGGAAGTTTAAAAGAGGGAGGGTCTGAGATAGAAAGGCATAGACAGGTGTGATGATTATCTATGAAATTGTAGCCAGAGAGGAGAGAATTGTAGTAAAATATTTCATGAAGAATTCTGAAAGAGTATTTCCTTGGCTTCACAGGGCATGAGATACAGAATTGTAAATCAATAACAATTAGAATTACAGGATGTCACATAAGAAATCACAGGTCAACAATAATTAGAATTGCTATTAAGGGGCCAGGCACAGTGGCTCAAGCCTGTAATCCCAGCACTTTGGGAGGCCGAGGTGGGTGGATCACGAGATCAAGAGATCAAGACCATCCTGGTCAACATGGTGAAACCTCGTCTCTACTAAAAATACAAAAAATCAGCTGGGCATGGTGGCGCGTGCCTGTAATCC